TTCTCCGTCTTTTTTAATCCTCATCAGGAGATGCTTCCCCCAAGCAACCCCCTCCGTTCTATGGAGGGGGGGGGTAAATTGTGGGGATTTAAGGTCCACCCCTCTTCAACCTGCCGAGGTTGAGAAACACTGGGCTACAGCACATTCTTACATGTACAGCCCCTCTGCCCCCACCCCAAGGCTGACACTATATTTTACACGTGGAAATGCAGCCGCTCGACCTTTTATCAACCTGGTTCAGTGTGCACTGTAAGCCCATCCTAACCAAGTCTGTATTCTTCTACTCCCCGTGGTCTGGACAGAGGTACTTCCCTTTAGTTAACAAATGCCTTTGGATTTGTGGAATCCCCGGCGATGCCTTTAAATTAGGAAGCCTGCCGTGACATTGGAAAGGAAGCATCCCCATTCCCAAGGAAATGCAGGAGCCCTTCCAAAGTTTCCAATTTGGTCCAGATGTCCAACTGCAGGAACTCACAGAGGGAGACGTTCTGTGCCCCGAGTAGGGAAATCAGGAAGCCTTGGGAATTTACAGTAGACTTCTAATTGTTAACACCAATTAACACTTTGAAATTATGTGGCTGAAAAGGAAGGCTTTGGAGGGAAACATGCTTATGTGAAAGAGCTTCTCCATGAACCCTATAACTTTGGGGTCCTCCTGGACTCACAGCTTCTAGCAGAAGAACAGGTAGAGACCACCGCCAAGGGGCACTCAAGGTGGTCATTCATGTCCTTGTCCCCCCTCCCCCGTGCTTAATTCACCTTACATGAGGCTGCCCTTGAAGACTACCCAGGAATGCCACCTGGTGGAATATGAACAATATACTGTGGGCTTATGGGACAGTCTTGGTGTCGCCATGTAACATTTCTGCTATGGGAACTGCGTTGGCTACCAATATGATGACGACCTATAAAGCCCTATGTGGTATCTCTGAGACTTCCTATCCTGCGTAGATTCTGCCCGCCCAGTTGAAGAGCGCAGAGAAGATCAGATGAAGGCCCCACGTATGGAGAGGTGCAACAGGAGGGATCCTGAAAGTGGACCTTCTCTGTGGGGGCTCCCCTCCACTGGAACAGCTTGATCGCCCCAAGGCACGAGTGGCCCCTACTCTCATGGCCTTCTGAAAGGTCCTTAAAACTTGTTTTTTTAAAGGTGGTCTTCAGAAACTGATTAACTGAGGTTACTGGTGCAGCCAGATGAATGGCTTGATGGTCATGTTATAGAAAATGTTTTATGATTGTATTTATGGTGCTGCGTTGGAATTGGACTATTGTTGCTCTTAACGCTTAGAGTCTGTTTTTAAATGGAAGCAGTTTATCAATTTTAGAAATTAATTAAAAAATGAACTCTCAGGCGTGTCTGTCTCAGCTATGGCTTTCCTATGGTTCTGGCTGGGGGACGTCAACGTTTTAGTCACTTTGGCCATCTCTGTTTGACATATGGCTGAGTTGTTTGTTCCAACGCACTGCACTTTAGTTTAATTAACCCTGGCTGGATTTACACACTGCACTAAGCCAATTCCAAACAAATCATGTTGGGGTCTTATACTGATAGGTAATCTTAGCCATTAGTTCACGTCAGATGCTAACCCTGCCAGATGATTGTACTAGGAGTCATCCAGACTTTGACCTTATTGAACAAAAAAATGCACCCAGTAACTACCCAGGATTTCCTTTATCCTCACTGAGTTCTAGAATGAATGAATTAGAAGGGATGCTCAAGATCACCTAGTCCAGCCCCTTGCTCAGTGCAGGGATCTACTGCACCATTCCCAACAAGTGGTTGTCCAGCCTCGTCTGAAAACCTCCAGCAAGAGGAGACCACCAGGGTTGGTGGACTCCCACCTGCCTCTTTTTGATGAGGAATTCTGGATACATATCCCAGGAATGTAGGTGCCCCACCCCAACTGAGTTTTTGCTCAAACAAAACATATAAGTGGCTGTTCTCTTCTTGCACACAGGCTTGTGATTCCTTACTTAAGGTTCATATACGGGAAAGATGGCGGCAGGCTGGGCAAACGTGCACAGAGCATCATGTCCGCCTGGTGGTCGTAAAATGGGAAATTCCTGGAAGAAAAGGGGAGAGAGGGAACCATCATTAGAAGCATCACCAGACACAGCCCTGCGTCCCTCTGCGGGCTGGCGTGTTAGCGGTTCTTTTCATGCTGCCACAACAGCGTGCAAGACCAAAACGGCAGGTAGAAACAGTGAGAATTTGGAGAAAGCTATTTGGACAGGTAGGTGGTAAGAAAAGGGCAGGGTGGTTGGATCAGTCCAAGAGCCGTGGAGTCCAGGGTCCAACAGTAATCCCCATGCCCACCCCATGCAACCAAATCATGAGGCAGATATGGCCATCACCCTTTGATCGTGCTAGCTGGGAATTATGGGGGTTGAAAATCCAATAAATCTAGGCAGATCTGATTGGAGAAGGCTGCGTTTCACTCCAAGAGCCGTAACCCCAACCCTTTCTTCTTTTGTTCTTGCAGTTCCTTCTCCATAGAAATCCATCCCCTAATTGTTACATGGGAGAAGAGGGGCAGCAACTCTAACCCAAAAAGAGATTTAGTCTTTAAATGTGACAAATAAATAAATAAATAAAATAAAATAAAATACGTTCTTGCTGGCACCAGGCTAAGACCACAAACTGCAGCATAAATCAATCTCAGTGCTTCATTTAAAACCAGTAGCTTTTAAACCCTTGGGGCCACCCTTTGCTATTTTGAAGAAAGCTAAGAAGGATTAGACCAGGTTACTACTTAGATGGGAGACAAAATCCGAGGGCTATGTGCTAGATTTGGAAACAAAAATCAGTCTGGGAGCCTTATTGGCAAGAAAACTCCATGGGCGATGGGTTGACCTTGCCTGGAGGGGTCTTCCTTCTGAATGTCAAGCACATGGACAGGTGGGCAAAAGAGGAAAATGGTTGAGGTGGCAACGCAGGGAATTGTGGATTTTGTGGGGTCTGTGGTTCAAGTAGGAGTGTCCCAGGGTGTGGCCAAGAGAGTCAAGATGGCAACTCCAATGGTGCGATTGAAGCTCCCCCGGTTTTGTGGGCAACACACCTTTTGCAACTCCTGAAGCCCCTGGCTCTTGAGGCATTCCTTGGAAGCCCCGAGGGCCCTGCCCTTTCCCTGCCCATCTGGACAGATGCCCCCGCAGCGACCCTATGGCATATTCTGCTCTCCAGAGCCCTCTTGGCTGGTCACGTGGATCCACCTTGGGCTACGCCAGCGCCAACACCTCCTGCTCACCTGTTCCTCCTCTGACCAGGTGTTTGGGCAGTTGTGGGGTTGCCTTTTGTTCTACAGCGTGGAAACACTTGACCTTCCATATATGTGCTCTAAATGATAAACGTTTTTTCAAGGTTCTACGCGCCCAGCATCCCTTCTGGGTGTGGACCTGAAGCCTGGCATCCCCCTCGTTCGCACTGTCCGGGGCTGATCCTAGCCTCAGAGCTGGTTTTTAGGCAAAGCGCCAGTTCTCACCGTGACCTGGATAAGAAGACAGCCTTGCATGGGCTGGTCCAGCATGCCAAGATGGGGGAATCAGTGTTTGGGGCACCCCAACAGCTGCATGGCGGGGATGCGAACCAGCTCTGCTGAAAAGGTCTCCAAAGGCCCTCAACATCCTATTCATCTCTGAGAATCCTGCTGTGTGAGACAGCGCATATGCGCTGATGTTTCACTAGCTCTACTGTGCACATCTTTGAAGTGGGTCTGAAACCACGCTTGGCAGCAGTAGAGGTGCATTATGACTTTTGTGGGCCCTAAGCACTTTTGCCTTCATGGGCCCCCTCCCTCTATGAAAATAACAGTACAGGTAGTCCTCACTTAACAACCATTCATTTAGTGACCGTTTGAAGTTCCAACGGTGCTGAACAAAGGGACTTACAACTGGTCCTCACATTTACAACCATTGTAGCACCCCCACGGTCATGTGATCATGATCTGGGCGCTTGTCAACCAGCTTGCACTTATGATGGTTGCAGAGTCCTGGGGTCACGTGATTGCCATTTGTGACCTTCCCAATCGGCTTCCAGCAAGCAGAATCAATGGGGAAACATGTGATTCCCTTAACAGCCATGGTGATTCATTTAATGACCACTGCAAAAAAGGTCATAAAATCAGGCATGACTCGCTTAACAACTGCCCTACTTAATAACAAATTTTCCGGTCCCTATTGTGGTCGTTCAATGAGGACTACCTGTAATGAAAATTATATTTCATTTTCAGTATTATTTGGCCTGTTGATAAATGTCTATGTGACCATTTGATGGACATATTTCTCCACTGTGCCCGGATGGTGACATTCTCCAAATGTGGCCCACGTGATGGAGGTTCAGCCAAAGCTGAGTGTCCTAGGTTTTCAAATCTCACATTCCTTCCATGTTCTTTAATTCTGCATTTTATGAAATGTCCAGTTTGTCCTAGAGAACTGCTCCAGGGGTGTCTGCAGGGAGGCGACAGAAGAATTAAGGTGGTGGCCATGGCTGTGCAATCCAAGCTCCGTTTTGTACCCAAACCCCAGTTGGTGGTTCTTAGTTTGAGAGATGCATCCTTATTTGAGGGAATGGGTGTTGCTGAATCTTGTCCGCTCTCCCAAAACTAACTCACAGGATGAGACTTCTCATTCTTTCAGGCACCCGTGAGACACCTAATCCTTTTATGACCATTCTGTCAATTCCTTCCTCTAGTTTCATCCTTTGCAGGGTATCTTCCGTTTAGAAAGGCATGATACAGACTTTGGAACTGGTTTGCTAGTTAGCTTATCAGCTCTAAAATGTACTCTTTTAAGCTAATTTTTAAACTGAACCTGCATTTTTAAAGTTAAGACTAATTGCTCTGCACATAAGGAGGACAGGTTAAACACAGAGAATGCCAAGAGATTTCTCTTGCATTGGTGAAAGAATTAGCGCTTTTAATTTTAAGTTCCCATTGACATGGAAACTTTCCCCCAATGCTAAGTGCCAGTGTGTGCATGTGTATGGAGGAGGGAAAGATGACCACATTGTACAGCAGTGTTTCTCAACCTTGGTGACTTTAAGAAGAGTGGACTACAACTCCCAGAATTCCCCAGCCTGCCATGCCGG